TGATGATAAGGATGCCTCTTCCAAAATTGTGAGTTCCATGGCCCCTGGGTCAGGGGTTCCGAGGTTAGGGTGGGGCTCTATTGATTATATAGTGAAAATGTATTAATATTTGAAAATCTTCTCTGCCCCTGGAGATTATTTAAACAAACTTAGTGCATGATTATGACTGGCAAGGGTGCCTCTTCCAAAATTGTGAAATATATGGCCCCAGGTTTTGGGGTTCTGGTGGAAGGGGGGACTGTATTGATTAGTTAGTGAAAAAGCATAACATCTTTTTGAAAATATTATTTTCTGCTTCTGGTTATAAAGCGAAGAAACTAAGTGTATAGTGATGATGAGCAAGAGTGTTTCTTCCAAAATTATGAGTTTCATGGCCCCTGGGTCAGATGTTCTGGTGTAAGGGTGGGGCTCTATTGATAATATAGTGAAAATGCATTAATTCCATCAATTAATCATGTCTGCTCCTTAGTGTTGAGCAGATAAACAAAGTGCATAGTTGTAATGACCAAAAATGTTTCTAACAGTATTTTTAAAACTTGTGGTCCCAGGGTCAGGAGTTCGGCATTACGGGGGTCGGGGGTATTGATAATATAGTGGAAATGTGTTAATTCTTTGAAGTGCATAGATATGATGATGAGGGTAGCTCTTCCAAATTTGTAAATTTCTTGACCCTGGGTCAGTGCTTCTGGTGTTGGGTAGGGCTGTGTTGAATCTGTTGTAAAAATGCATTGTACCTGTGAAATTCTTCTCTGCTTCTTGGCATATCGGAGGCAAACTGAGTAAAAGTTTGAATAAGCAAGGGTATTTTTACCAGATTTTTGATCATCTCGACCATTTGGTCATTCTAGTCCTGGGCAGGGTTGTATTAATTTTTATTCTACTGAGAGAAGTTAGTTCCCTTTTCCATTCACATTTAATTTGTAATCGCTGTAAATAATGTATTTGAAAGGTAAGTAGAATAAGATAATTATGCAAGAATTTTTATTGTATAATACAAAAAGTACTTTCTTAGTTTCAATGACCAGGTATACCTGTAAGTAAGAGATAAATAAAAATGAGACAAAAATAACTTATTAAATGTTTTTCAAAGACCAAGAGAGGTGAACGTGAGAGGTATATATTTATTATTATTTCAATAAAATTCAAGAGTTAATATTTGTTTATAAATAATATCTCAAATTATTGTTAGTTCTTAGTATTTGGTGGTTATTGACTTTAGATGTGTTACCAAAATATGGATAATCTGTCTAGCGCAGATTGTTTTTTTTTTTTTTAATATTGGATTTGATGACAATAACATTCGTATCACTGGTGAAGTGTTTTGATATATCATTTTGAAATTTGAGAGGCTCCTTGAAAATAAATTCAATATTTATTAATCTTGTTTACTCGTCATATGTCACGCTATCGCGTATCAGCCTGAAAAAAACGAGGAGAGTTCGTCACCCTCATTTGTTCAACATCAGTTACCTATTCTGAGAGTTAAGTTTCATTCATTTCTTATAATCAACTTCGTCCGTGTTTTGATATGTACTGCAATTTATTATACCCCCGCTCCGGAGGAGAGGGGGTATACTGTTTTACCCTTATGTGTCTGTCTGTGTGTTTGTCCGTAACAAATTTTCGTCGGAGTTTTCTCAGCAACTACTCATCACAGATGATTGAAATTTTAGCACACTCTTTGCTTAGGCATGCCATATGGTGGGATTCATTTTTGTGTGAACCCGATGTCAAATTCCTGTTTATCTGTGCGTCTGTCCGTACCATACATAACAAATTCTGGTCGAAGTTTTCTCAGCAAGTACTTTTCGCAGATGCTTGAAAGTTTAGCACACTCTTTGTTTAGGCATGTTATATGGTGGAATTTATTTTTGTACGAATTTGATGTTAATTTTCCTGTTTATCCCCGTGTCTGTCCATAAATGAACTTGTGTATTTACATCAGAGCGGGGGTATTAGTAGTGAGCATTGGCTCACAGACTTCTTAGTGTAAATAAAATACCTTTCACAGTATAGGAAAGACGTCAACAGAGGCGGTGAACTAAGGAGATATTTTAACACACCATGAAAAAAATTACAATAAAGTTGACGTTCATACGGAAACGTACTAGCCCTCCCGATAAATATGATATTAAATTATCATAAAGCTTTTTTTTTTCATAATTTCTATTTCGTCTCTGGAGTCAAATTTTAAAACAACTGTCGATTTGTAAGTTAAACTGTGTTGTAAAACATTAAACAATAATTTGATATACTAGTATATCTTATTCTGCTAAACAGTATTATTTAATAGTAATCGACAAATGATCTTGTCAGATAACAACATATGGAAAACACTATCGGATATTAAAAATTCACCTTTATCGACCATTCGTTCCAAAAATAATTTCAACAGACATGATGTAGAAGCAGGGTACTGTGATTATGAACTTAACTGAAACAAATCACTGGCGATAATTCTTCTACCTAATTTTCTGAAGTAAACGGTAATGGAAAAAATAACGACATTTGCACTGTCTGAATACACGAAATTGGGATTTATTCCTATGTATATATTTATCAAAAGATGCAGGCCCTTAAAAGCATTTTAAGTGCAGTACGTGTAATAATTTATCGTTTTCATTCATGTTTTGTGCTTGCAGATCCGGAAAAAAAACAAATTTTATCGAGCTAATATTTATATGAGACACTGGGTAAATTATGGATGAAGTTTTCTCTTTGATTCCTGACATTGAGCATTTGCCAATTTGGGGAAGTCAGGTCCCAATTAATAACTTGAATAAAATAAAAATTTGTGTTTGCCACTATTGGCAGTCGATAGACAGTACGACTCTGACACAGATCAAAAAATCAAAGTTAAAATGAAATCAAGTTTCTCTTTGCGTGAATACACGGTAAACGTTAATTTTACATTAAAGAGTCAACATAACTCAGCCCCCGTCAACAATATCCGTTTTCCTAAGAACCATCACATTTTGAATCAAATCCTTTTGACTATTGGATGTAATTTCTGTATTATTCATGGGTTGTGTTTAATCGTGAGTTATCGACAAACCCATTTGCTTTCAATCGCTCAAGAGAAATAATTGAAATACAAGTTGGTTTCAAATTACTGCTAATATAACGAAGCATTCTATTAGGCACTTTGTGTTACTTTAACACTCCATGAGGGAAATTAATTTAAGTGCCACAGTACTATATTAATATTCATAAAGACACAGCTTCACATTCAAATTTATGCATCCATTACTTGTATTTCAAAATGTATTAAATCCTCCACTATATTCACACTGTGTCCATTTGGAGTATAATCTGTTCACTACATTTGCTCATTTATTTTTTGGTTACGAACTTTATATACGATTTAAGCTTTAGGGTAGACCCTTATTTCTAACAAAACAAGAGACCCCCCCCCCCCCCAAGTCTACAATACAAAACTTAACAAATTTACATGTACGTTTATAAGGAATCTTAATAGTTTATAATAAATCATATTAAATGTATTTTTTTTTTACAATAAATCATATAATATGGTATTTACTTCAGAGTGAAATAGGTGAAGAAAACGGTGATTGATCTCAATAAATCTATCAACAATACAACGTCGTCGATACATCTATATGTTGAGATAGGGGCCACAGCAAGTGTTTTCTTCTAATGAATAAATCCTGCTTCATAGGAATATGAAAAGAGGTCGGCTAATAAAGGAGCACAATTAGTGCCCATCGAAATTCTTACAGACTGTTGGAAGACCTGGTCTCCAAAGATTATATGCAGGTATAATATTGTTAATGAGGAACTCCAGCATCCTTTTAATATCGACCTCCGAGTACTTTTGTGTAGAAACAATTTTTTTTATCAAAGTTATCAAAGTAATCTTAAAGATGAACAGACACAAGATACTTCCATATTTATTGAAAAAGAAGTTGTCTGTGTCATCAAAAATGCAATTTTTTTTTTATATAGGATATGGATATATTAAGTGTAGAAAACTCATACATTTCAGGCTCGTAGTATCATTTTTGAAAGTGGAAGTCCAGCCAGAAAAAAATTACAAGGTGCCTGAGAAAACTTTGACAAACCAAAAACATTGCTGAAACCCGAAAACCTATTTCGCGATTGTGGATTTGGTTAAGTTCCAACTTTGCGACAATTATTTTACATACTATTGTGAGAATTCCACCATACTCCAAAGACGGTGAGGGACTATATCTAGCCTTTTAATAGCAATTTTCAGAGTCATTTAAAAGCAAAAAGGTATAAAAAGGGGGCACCCTCGAACTATTTACTATTTATGGCAATGAGTTTTGAAAAAAAAATCGTAATTTTAAATTTCATAATAGATCGTTAGAGTTTTTAAAAATCAAATTTTGTTACACAATTTCTCGAATATGCTGTAGCACAGTACATCCTGAAGTTTCTCCTTTACAGCAATTATTTTTGCAAGGAGAAAAGATAGGGTCTTGGTAGATCAGTTGTTGAACTCGGCATTGTATCTTTGTAAGGATTTTCATCAAGTCTAGTAATCCAGTATAAGTAGGAAAGATCGAAGTCACTTTCGTTGCAGTGTTTCCATTCAAGTAACTATGTTTCATTATTTCACCTTGAATTTGCATTTAATGAAAGTACTTCTCCCAAAACACACACAAAGCAGAGTCCCAAAATCATAAGAAAAACAAAACAAAAACCAAATAACAACAGCAATAGAATTTTAAAATGCATTAAATTAAAATATACTAGAACAAAGTATCGCTGAATACAATGTAATTTATAGAATTAATTTTCTTAAAAAGATGTTAACATCACAAAAAGTATAACCATTGATGCTTTAAAAATTTAACATCATAAAACGAGACATTCAATATCTATATTTTTTTCTCAAGAGAAACATACAAGAGTAATCAAAGAAAAAATATTTACTTACTATTTCTATAACATCACTGCATATACATGTATTCATTTCCAAGCTTTATTATTCTAAATGAGTACATTGTACTTACCTCTGATAATTAAGAAGCTGATTTGAAAGATATCCCAACAAGAACAAAGAATTTCACTGTTATATACTCAAACACCTCCGTAGGATTTGTATTGAAAGAACTGGTCACTGCAATAAAAAAAAGCCAAGGATTTAAAACCACTTCGTCAGAAAAAAAATCAAGTTTAGATAGCGTAGAGATGGGTCCATCTCTACAATATGATTTATCATCCATCGCTAAGCTGAAAACAAAGAAAATCCATTCCTATTAGAATATTTATCTTACTAGTCAATATGGTATGTGTCAATGAATTATAACTTTCTTGTACAATCAATTGTTTGCTAATGGAATCTAGGCTTCTATATTGATATGAAAAAGGGATAGAAACTTGGGAAATAATTATGCTTTGAGATGTGCAACATCTAAGTTTGTTTCTGTTTTATGACAGTTTAGCAATTTGACTAATAAATACAGACTTGGACTCACTGCACAGCTAAAATAATGAATAAATGGTCTGTTTGTGACGCGTATAATACATGTTTACGATCACTTTCACTTACATTTAATTAATATTTGTAAGAAATAATACAACACACCGAGGCTATGAGCTGCATGTGATTGCTATCTTAGCAGGTTCTAGCTTCCAAATATAATCATGAAGGTTGCGATTACCAGATCATTAGGTTACAGACTGGATAGAATTTCGGAATATGCGGTTGCTCTATTAACACTTTTGATTGCAATGGCGACATACATTATACCAAGTATAGAAACTAAAACACACACTAAAATTATTGTTCTATGTACACTGAATATTAAGGTCAGAACACCGAGATGACTATGATTAATTTCGAAACCCAATTTAGAAAAAGGCGCCTGTTACAGCACTTTCATCAGCTTTCAGATCAAATCATGTAAGATTATATGTGAAGTATGTAAAATTAAACGTTAGCATTTCTGAGGTTTATCATGTAATATTTGTATCTGTACATTATCAATTCTTGTTCTAATAGCTATACTTTTTAACCATATTTTTTTTCAAAGAATATCAAAGTATGGCGGCTTATGTAAAGGTTTCTTTTAATTAGTAGAGAAGCTTAGGAAAAGACGATTCTACTTGACGTAAAGATAGTGCAAACTCTAAAAAAGCCATCTTAATTAATGATCAAAGGAGATTCGTGAAAGTTAGAACAAGTTCCCCAAATAATTATTAAACAGCCTCACTGCCAAACCTCGAAAGCGCCGTTTCTCACTTAGACGTGAAACTGCTAAACGTAGGTGAACTCATTCGCTCTGCTCTTACGAAAGTTTTATAGCTTGTTTCTCTTCTTTTGACATAGAAAGTTACGATTTATTGCCAAAGAATTCGACATTTATATAAATAAAGAGACACTGCCGGCTGGTATTCATAATGTACTTCTTTTGTTATGTCTAAACCTTTTCAAGTTTTTACATTTTTCTCATTCTAGATATAACGAAATACAATGCAATAATAAGTAACAATAAATAACAATTGTCAAATAATTGTCAATGTACATTTTCTTGTTTTATGTTCCTTACAAAGTTTATCTTTCTCATTGATAGAACAGATGGACTTATTACGAATTTACCCGAATGAAGTCATTATTCATTTTTATTAGAAAAAAATGTGTTAGTTGTATGCATCCAACGGCATGAATTCTTTTTCTTTATATCAGTATATATTTTTCTACTTGTTTTAACTCTATACTAACGGATGCCTTGCATAAAGATACCTACTTTAAACACTTAAATGAAAATGTTATTCAATTTATTTTAAATATATTTTGAACAAAAATTATGGATACAAGTGTATTACATACCTCGCAGTTTACATTCTTACGTCCCAATGTTATGACTACTGCATACACGCCTTAGGCTGTCAAAGACTGATATAAAATTCCCCGTCCAACTTTATACCAGCCTTGATGCAGTCGAACAATGATTGGTTGTTCTTCTCCTTTAATAAGCATCTGCTACTTCTAGGGAAATACTTTTTTATGGTTGATGCATATCATATTTATTTAAAAAAAAAACAAACAAACCAACCAAAAAACTTCGTGCAGTTTATAAGTCAGAATTATTCAGATTTTTTTTATGCAAACAATATTTTGTGATAGAAAGGTGTTTCAATAATGTACCTTTAAAAATATATTTTGGTGTTTATTGTATTTTTCACGTTTTCACGTTTTTTTTCCATTGCTGGATAATTCTGATAAACAGGAATAAAATGCTGAATTTTATATTAAACATTATATTTACACACACACACAATCTGAATTGAATAAACATAGGGTTGATTAAAATTCTGATGTAGCCTTATTTTAAATCTTCATGTTGTGCAGATATGAACACTCAATTGCAAACTCCATTTAAATTCATTACATACTGAAACCAAACGTTGTTCTATCAACATATGCTAGAATATAAGCCCATTAATTAATCCCATAATCAAAAGAAATACAAACCGAGCCCCTCACCTGACCGATTGCAACATATGGTGCAAAAATTAACATCCCAACCCCAAACTCTACTCAAAATAAGTTTTACACAGAAACCAAAATTCTATCGTTATTAACCACTCCCTTTGTATCTAAATTGCTATAGATGTGTAATGCAAACTTATAATTAAACCAACAATGGATGTACAGACGAAAATCTCTAAATTCCACCAACCTTATTGAACAAATTCTATCTATCAGAGGCCACACCTTTGAACCTGTTATTAAACTAAGCTTTCTATCATGGTGAAACTTTGACAATTCTATTCCATATCCGTATAATATGAAGATTTATGGTCTATTTAAATCATCTCAGTATTCATATTGTACATTTTGTATGTGCTTCCTCCCTTTTGTCATCTGTTGTCCGTAGTTTAACTTTTGAAAATACTCTACTTCACTGGCGTGACATGTATATAAAACCAAGGGAAGTTCTATATATTGTTCCACGTATTATCGCCACTTTTTGCATCATATCTCGAAACATATAGATACCTTAGCCTTCGAACTACTGCAGATCACTTTTTTATTCGCGAGTACTATATTTTCGCGTAATTTCGCGAGACTTCCTGCTCACAAAAATAAAATTCTTGAATATATTTGTTGTTAAAAATGTAATATAAAACAATAACAAGAGTTCCTGAAAATTATGTCCCGCTTATAAATACCTTATGGCTATCTTGCGAAAATAAAGTGTCGCGAAAAGTTGGTGACCTACAGTAATCCTTCATTTAAACGAACCCTCGAGTTCACCCATATTGTATTGAAGTCTACGCGGATTTACTATTGCCAAAATGGCTGCTACTTCGGAAGGGAATCCACCATTATTCGTAAATTTCCATACTTTGCCGTCAGTGACGTCAATTTCATAAATGCTCTATGCTTACTGACCTCCGGAAATGCCTACCACTCGAGACATACGAAGAGCCTAACCTGTTCCCTGGTTCATTCTGGCAAAGGCGGGAGAGGCAAGTCGAGTTCAGTCAAATCCTTACCTATGATTGGTCAACACAATTTGAGCTAAATCTGGGGTTTTTTTTGAGCCGTTGCCGTTAACCATGGTAAAAAACTAAATACGATGTCCCAATGATGCATTACATCGACGGCGTAGAAATATTCGACGTCACAATAACTCTATATTGACAGGGTGCAGCTAAATGCAACACCACGATGGGCATAGATTCAGTGCAGGCGATCGTTTTTCTAACAAACTGCAGATCGTAAACGCACGACTACGTTTACGATTATTTAGCTCGCTATTCAATATGTCGACACGGCCAGGTGCTGTTATAGGACCACGACATGTCCAAAATTAAGAATTCAATGATTAAACTTATTTTGGTATATGGCATCTTTAATTTGGTTGAAGGAGAACAAAAATTATGAAATTCATGGTGCCTGTCCCCCTGGGGCCTTAGGGGGTGGGGCTTAAACCACCAAAATTGATGCAATCTTTAAAAATATTTTTTACTACTGGACATCAGGTAGTCCAACATAGCATGAATGTAATAAGCATTGGGCCCTCTACCAAAATTGTGAAATTCATGGCCATAGGATGAGGAGTTCTGGTGCTAAGGTGGGGCTCTTTAGAAATATATGGTAAAAATGCATTAATTCTTTGAAAATCTTCTCCTCTGCTCCAACATATTTAGCAAACAAACTAATTGCATTGTTATGGTGAGCAAGGGTGCTTCTTCCAACGCAGGAAGGTTAAGGCTTCCCGAACAAATATCACGGTGCACTCTGTGCCTTCACATCTCTGAACTACCAAAATATGACGTCATAATGGAAAATGACGTCAAGCCACTGCAAACTTGAGGTGTTATGACAGGGAGAGTGTCATGAACTTCACACTTTATTTCAAACTACATGTAAAATGCTAGATAGCTATTACAAAATTCACAGGTCGTTAAAGGTTTTTTAAGTCTTATATGTCCGATTATTTTAAAAATACACCATCACTTATCTACCCTTAATTGAAATTCCGCATCTTCAAAATGCTTATGAAAAATATACTTTTGAAATGTACTCTGTTGTATACCCGTGGTTGGAGGTAGAATTTATTTTGTGTGTATTAAAGTGTCTGGCGCAGGTGATTAATGAGGATTAATCTTAGAATTTTTGTGGAAATCTGTAAGAAGAGATTGTTCTCTAACTGAATCTTGCTTGGGAAAAATGTGTGTTGGCTTTGTTTTCATACAGATTGCGATATTGTGTGGAAAATACCCTCAAATTTGTAGGGAATTTGAATTTCTCACCAAATATTTTGTACCCAAGTAATACTATGACTTTTCCCAAGCACATTTCGGATACACAAGGATACGATGAGTTTATTTATATAACAAAATGTTAAAAATTATTGTATTTATCAGCTGCGCCGAAGCGATTTATATGAAACACTTCAAAAAATTATAAATGACCGTCACGTGATCAACAGAGTCATGTGATATCATAACAAATATGTTAATATATAGCCGAGGAAACTCTCTATATAAATTGGAAGTACTAAAGTTCACTACTTATAAATTAAAACCAAAACCGACCTCGCCATGACATATTATGTTTTGAGCACATTCTAAAGCTTCGGGAAGCCTTACCATAGCTGCGAAAATTGTGAATTTCATGGCCCCTGTGTAACGGGCCCTGGTGTTAAAGCGGGGCTGTGATGATTATAATGAAAATGAAGTAATTCTTTGAAAATCTCTGTTCCTGGGTATAAAGCCGATGAACAAAGTGCATGGTTATGATGAGCAAGAGTGCCTCTTCCAAAATTGTGAAAGATGTGGCCCCAGGGTGAGGGGTTTCAGGGGGAGGGGAACTTATTTATTATATTCTGTAAATGAATTAATGCTTTGAAAATCTTCACCTTGGTATTAAGCAAACAATCTAAATGCACAGTGTTGGTGAGCAAGGGTACTCCTTCTAAAACTGTAAATTTCATGGCACCTGGGTAAGGGGTTCTTGTGTTAGGGTAGGGCTCTAATGATTATATAGTGGAAATACATTAATGCTTTGAAAATCTTCTCCTCTTACCCTGAGTATTAAGCAAACAAATTATAGATGCAGTTATATAAATATAATTGTATAATTATAAAGAAATATGGCTTTTCTATGCTCCTGGGTAGCTCATAGGTAAAGCGCTCCTTCCCCGTGATCGGAAGGCTGTTGGTTCGATCCACGGCGGCGACTGACCTAAGTCGACAGAAAATATGTAGGAACCGTTCCTTTGTCAAGCACTCAGCACTTTAAAATGAAAGTTGCGGGTCCTTTGAATGAGCCCTTAAAAACCGAGGTCCCGTGTCACAACAGGCACTGGCACGATAATGATCCCTCACTGCTCAATGGCCCTCAGTGCCGAGCAAAGGTCTAAATTGAAGCCCTTCACCGGTATATGGCGACGTCTCAATATGAGAATAGGACGGTAAAACAACATACAATCAATCAATCAATGCTCCTGGGTATCTATTTGGCAGACAACATTGTAATATGTGAAGTGAATGAGATTTACTCCCCTTTGTGTAATTGTATTAAGACATCCTTGTATATTATTAAATTAACAGGTTATTTGATTGATTGAAAGTACAAAAAAGAATATTATATAGAAACAAAATTAAATAAAAATTTGTTTTGTTTAAATAGCAAAGCATGCTCAAAATTGGATTCTTGTCTATAAAGCAATATATAAGATTCACATGAAGATTATTAATGTAGCAAAATATCCAATTGAACAGAATATACACAGTGTGAACTATGGTGTCATGTTTGACAATTAATGCGTTATTATAAGGTAAAGTTATGGAGACCGTAGTGTAGTTGGTAAGAGACTGCATAAAGTTGTACTTTATACTAGAGAGGCAGGGTGACTAGGGGACATTTTGTAGTTTGTTACAAGTGGCAAATAGCTACATTGTATAGGCAAAAGGCGAGTGCTGGTAACAGTTATTACCAAGCTTTGTAGCACTAGGCAAGTGACGTAAACATATCTGTTTATGTTGAATACCTTACACACTAGGCAAGTGTCCATTGCATTGGTATATTTAGTTCGAAATATCATATGTCCAGGCTTTTTCCACGATTTTGATATTTTACGTGTCAGGAAAACGTCAGCACCGGCGATATTATGGAAAGCGGAAATTAGCCGCCTCCAACCGGAGGCGGCATTTTCATGTTTTTTTTTTCGACACGTGCGAACCGAATTTAATGTCAAACTCACATCTTATCAACATTACAATATATCTAGTGCTTACCAGTGTCGCATTTATTGTTCTTTTTTAATATAAAGTGTCTGGTGAAAACATTTAATCAAACTGTCGGGGTTTGGTTTGTATGTACATTTTAAAATCTCGTGATTTTTTCTTTTAAGCGATATTGGCGAGAAGTAGAAGCAT